CGCTTTCTAACTCTGAGTACTTGCACAGGCACAACCTAGTAGCCAGAATTCCACACCAGGAGCTCGCTCTGAAATACGGTCTCGTGGACCGGAAATTGCCGTATTACAAGTACTTGCCGGAAGCCGTGCTCGAAAATGACCGCGTCAGGCTCTACTGGGACCGGGCCATCATCACAGACAGGACTATTCTTGCGAATAAGCCTGATATTGTGCTGATGGACCGGGCACAGTCAAGGATATTTTTGGTCGACATTACCATTCCGTATGACGAGAACCTCGTGAAAGCCAAAACAGATAAGCGAACAAAATATCTGGACCTGGCTCACGAGGTGACCGACATGTGGGGTGGTTGGCCGACCGCAATTATTCCTGTAGTCGTCTCTGCGAATGGGCTAATCCCAGTCAGCCTCTCGGGTTATCTGAGGCGACTGGGACTCCGTGACGGACCGCTCCGGGCTCAAATGCAGAAGGCAGTGGTCCTCGATACCGCCCGCATCGTCCGTCGGTTTCTTCCCCTTTCCCCCTAACCCTCGGCCGTTTGGTCTCCCCTGCCGAGGGCTTCCATCTCGATGGATCTTTATGTATTTGTGTATTTTTGTATTTATTTTATTTTATTGATATTTATGTATATTTATCTTTTCATTTTAATTTATAATTATATATTTATAGAAACCAACCAGATGAGAAAACTATACAGATACCCCAAAAATAATAATAATAATTCATTACTGACATTTTCATAGTTCACATACTTTTTACAAATATATACAATACATTATGAGTACCAATTTGAAATGGGTAGAAACCTGCTTCTCCTAGCTAGGTTTACTTAGTAACCTGTATTTAGGAGAACAGTCCCATCTCCCCTGTTGATGAGGAATACATAGTTGTATTGTTTAAATTAATTTAATTTTTTGTATAAAGAAATCATAAAATTTTATAGACATAATAAGTGATCTCTCTCTCTCTCGCTGGTGTGTGTGTGTGTGTGTGTGTGTGTGTGTGTGTGTGTGTGTGTGCGCGTGTGCGTGCGCGTGCGCGTGTGCGTGCGCGTGCGCGTGCGCGTTGCGTGTCATGTTATGTTATGTTAAATTTGTTTTATAAAATACCTCCTTACTTTTTTATGTTTATGTCATGTTAAAAATTGAAATTTGCTATTTATTAACAATGATTTCAAATATCCCATTTCGGGGAAATCATTGGTCAAATGTTTTTAATTATTTTTCTTATAATCTCCAACACATGAAAAGTTTTCTGAAAGTCGCAAAAGTGTTTTTCTTGAAACATTACAAATTTGATGTATTTGCTTGGTGTGGGGTTGTCTTACAAATATCATTATTACAATTATTACATTATTTACATACCTGCATTAATTTTCATCTTTTTATAACTCGTTAAATAAAAATATTTTAGTTTTCAATCTCTGAAAATTTGCTAACTGCCAAAATGTGAGCGGTAAAATACCTTCTATTTACTACCTCTTCGTTTGGAGTGGAGGTCATTTTTACCAGTAAATAATCCAGATTTTATAATATATTATTAGCATCTTGCTAACAATTTCTTCATTCAACTTCCATCTCTTTTTTAACTTCCTGAAATCTCATTGTAATAGGTAAAACTTTGTTTCACAGCATATACGTTCCGAGTTATGTTTTAGACACTTTTTATAAAATCTTTGATTAAAGGAATTAAACAAAATCAAACAAAACTGACTAACAGAAGTTATTATAAGAGCCCCGAATTAGCACACGTAGCATTGGCCGCTCCCCGAGCATAACACCTTGCACGGCGATAGATCTAATACAGGTTTTTCCATTGCTGCTTATAAAAGTCCATTGCTGAACATAGGCCTCCCCAATAGCCTCATAGGGGGGGGGGGGGATTTTGCCATGTTGCCACGCTTGTTAAGTTGTAACAGTTATTATTCTAAGTAGACCATTTTAAATTTATTCATACTCGTGTAATTGAAGTGTTTGTCTGTACGTAAAATTGAAATAACGGACTTCTGTTAAACTCAGGGGGTTATTTGAATACTGAGTGCGCGAAAAGTGACGACTAAAGGCATGGCGGGTCGAATGATGAAGTAGACAGTATTAGTGTGGTTCGAAAGAAACCAAAACAAAATGGCGGACGTGGCACATGGCGGACTTTGGACAATATACTTGCTATGAAGTATCTTTGCTCTCTTGGGATAATTAAAAATGTTTTGAAAATAAAATCAAAACAAAGTTGTTAAAGACAATTATTTATTGAACATTAATTATTAATATGTAAAGACTTATTTGCACAAAGTCAAAGACAACCTAATACACGTTGGTTAAAATTCGTGCTTTACTCCTAATTTTAGGTATTTTATCAGGTTACACTTAGGTATATGTCAGCTTACTTATGCATCATCCAGTAGTTCATTTTCTCCCACATCACTATCTAAGAGCAATTATAAATGCTCCCATTTAGCAGTTTACTACGTCATGCGTATAAATCTTAATTCTTTTGAAATAAAATTTCCCCTTTCGATAAGTGTAAGTATCAAATAAAGAGAATTATTTTTTATTTTAAATTTCAAAAGCATTCTTGCTGTCTTTGTCCTATTAACTTAATTATTGCTTACTTTGGTGTTAATTGTAAATTGATCATAGACACCATTTAATCATGTTTGTTATAAATCTTTTATTATAAAATATATATTTTTTAATTACTGCCATCGTAGCATTTTTGCAAAATCCATAACTAGTTGAAAGCTTAGTATGAACTTTATCTCCTTTATCATCAAACCAAAACATGTTCATCATATTTTCACTCTTAACATCCTCAGTCTTCAAAACCTATGACATTTGCTACATAATGTAGTGAGGAGAACACTAGCATCTCATCAAGCATTAAGAAACACAAGCACTCTGTCATGCTCAAGTCTTTCATTTGCTTAAATATAAATAAGTTTATGCCTGGCTTAATTAGTATTTATTTAAGGACATTTTTAATGTCCGTCTTGAGTAAAGTGAACAATTTACCTAAGAATATATATCTTTTAAGGCTTTTTTTGTTTTTATCGACGTGGCCAAACAATTTGTCTTCGAAATTGTACCATCTTCCACGATATTCATATTATACTGTACTAACTGCACATTCAGGAATATGTGGGTGTGCATAGTCAATGATATCAGTTTTATTGAAATATTATTTCTTAGTATTATTTTTGTTGCTCTATGTGATTATATGGTACCTTCCACAATTTATTAGATTGATTATAGTTTCGCAAATGGTTTGTGAGGTTGTATTATGTATGAGTATGTTATAATACATATATAAAATGCTGATTTTGTAAAAAAAATATATTGATTTACACATTTACAATGGTATAGTGGGCATAAGAAAGTCACTTTTGTAAATTGTTTGTATTTTTAAAAGTATAGTTATTACACACATTTAAAAAAAAGTTTTGTTACCAAAATATGATAACGTTATCAAGTACATATTTTAAAGATTAATAATGCTGCTACAAAATGTATCTTTTTATATTAAGCTAAAGTATTATCACTATTAACAATTAATTGATACTAATTCTTGAAATTATGGAAAAGAAGCAAACCTTTGGAGAGGATTCAATTATCAATGTGCTCTTAAATGGGAAGTAGTTGAGTCTTGTGGATACCACAGTTTTTCTTAGTATTAGACATTGAAGCCGTATTTGTTTTATAAAAGAGAGCCGTACGTTCAATTTATATCTTAAATTGTAAAAGTCGCGTAGAGAAAAATTTAATGAAATAAATATATTAACTTTGGCATAGCAATAATGTATGTACAATAATTTATCTATTTTTTTACATATATATATATATATATATATATATATATATATATATATATATATATATATATGTAATGTATGTACATAAAAACATAAAAAGCTTTCATAAGAATAAAGATGTTTATACTTTAAAATCTAAGAACAAACATAAGCTTGTAACACCAGTTACTAGACTCCACTGAGTCAGTAGTGCTTTTATGGGGCAACATATACGCTTTTAAAACAAAATTTCGGAAAATGTACAAAATTTGTCAATAAATAAGTTGAAATGTTTTATTTAAGGAAAAATGTACAAAAAGTGTTATTATAATATCAAAAAATACATCAATAATAACCCCTGTGATTGAGGTGATCGCCACCATGCCTGTACTATTAAAATTTATTTAAAAAATGTATAAACAAAATGATTGTAAAGTGAAATATGTTTTAAAAAAACGTCCCGCTGGGTTTCTTGTTGGTTCTTCCCAGGACAGAGGTATATGTAGTAAATAAAACATGACTTTCAATAAGTATTGTGTAATAATCTATATTTAATAATAATAATTCTATTGTATTGTAATCTCTGTAACATAATATATTTCCTAACTTAACTAACCAGTTAAAAAGAATGTGTTTAAAGAAATCAATTGATATTGTGCAAATATTGTTAAATTTAACACATCTAATGTTATTAATTTAGGCAAGAAATTTTTAAACAATAAACATTTTAAATATATCCGGTTTTTATTTTATTAATAGGAACTAGCAATTAGCACAAGAAATATAAAGAACCATTAATTACATTGCAGCACTTGTGCAATGTAATTAATGGTTCTGAACATATAAAATTGTAAAGTGCAAATAAAGGGCGGGCCCAAAGCACTCTTAATTTTACGCCACCTGACGGTTGGGCACGGAACTTAACGTAAATAAAACTTGAGTTGCTCATCTATCTCTAGTATATAGGCAGTAATCTATGAAAGCACTGCTCCACAGAGTACCTTTGTATAAACTGAAACACTGCTCTTTGGCAAATGGCAATATCATTATCAAATGCAAATGTGAAATTAAAAAAAAACTTGAGTACTTACGTAGGTACGTAAAATGAGACGTTTTTGAGAAATTCATATTTTCTCCAATTTTGTTAACATAAATTATCATTGCATTTGATTGGCGACCTCGTAAGTCATAGCTTTATATTGATAATCAAACAATGGCTATAACTGTCGATAAAATTTTCAATGCACACAGGTAAGACATCAGTGTTTATATTTTGAGGAAAGTTAAACGAGAAGTTTAGTTCCATGTAATATTTTACTTCTTTTATGCTTAGTTTAACTTAGTTTTCTTAATATTTCAGATTCTCCGGTGATAATGCCTTGCAGTTTCTTTTTTATTTGCCATTTGGAATCCTCTTGATGGCTATAAGAATTGTACTTGCACTAATACTGTGGATTGCATCCATTATCCTTCCAGACAAATCCGGTGTGCGACAGATGTTGTCCACGCTCGCCTGTTGGACATTTGGTAAGAAACCTAAAATGATAGTTAAAAATTTATCTTTCAAAATTGAAAAAATAATGTTTTTAATGTAATTGTTCACTTTATAAAATACTCTTGTAAAGAGAAGAAACTTTCACTTTAGAAACATTTTGATTAAAATTGTAGCAGGTTTTCTTCATTCAAGTCATGAATATTATAATTATTTATATTCATTGTTTACTTAATATTATTATAATTAATTAAACAAAGTCGGTTATCCAGGCATAGTGCCAAAATATAATGTTATAAATTATGGTTTGCTTCATTTAATAGTCTTTTGACTTAACTACAAAAGGTATTGTTGATAGTGGTTTGTATATGATGTCAAGCTTTAAAGGTCGGTGGTTTAATGGTGAAAGGTAAATGTAAAGGCTAGCAGCACTGAGTAAACAAGATGGGATGTGGCAGCCAACCGCATCCCATCTTGTGTGAGCCAAAGGGAGGAAATCAAAGTGGGAGTGATAATCTAAAGAAATCCTGTGCCATTATAACCATAAAAGACAAAACTAGAGGAGCATACTACATTACCGTGCATCGAAAAAAGTGTAACCACTATCCAACCGTGACGACATAGCTTTTAAATTACTGAACATTTTAAACAAACATATATCTATCTCACTTACACAAGTTGCAAAAACAGTACTGTCGCTAAGATTAGATAAAGATGGACACACAAACATGCAATGGCGGGTTGGTGTGGCTTACTATATGAAATTTTACCCAAAATACGCAATAAAAATGAGTTTTTTTTAAGCTGCAGTTAATTGTTTTTATATTAAAAAAGTATATTTTATTTTGAAATCTTTTTTGCATCCCCTTAGAAATAAAAGATACAAGGCTTTTCAGATGAATAGAAGTAAACATAATGATGAAATAAAACATATTTATATAAGTATTTTTGTTGTACTATTAAATCAAACAATATAAAATAGGTAATAAAATATATTTAATAGATCATTCATGAATAAACTAAATTAAGATTAATTAATTATTTTGTATGAAAGTTAAAATATAGTTATTATTATAATTTCCAAAATATTTAAAAACAGAGGTAACAAATTAATTTACTCCATTAATTATGTAGTCTCCCATTAATGTAGGATAATCACAAAGGCAAAAAGTGGCAAAATTGAACCTAAATCGCAATATTCGATAATTTTATTTAATTTTTTGAGGCTTTTTACATTTATATGAAAACTAGAACTAAAATTATGTGTTGAAAGTGATTCCGCTTGATTTATTACATTTTTGTGACCTTGAATAGCATTCTTTCACTATGCATTTACCCATTTTTTTCACGGTTCAACTCTCTCGGAGTCACATTGAACACTGAACTGACGTTAGCTAGACATATGGCTGTGACCATATGTGCAGTGGCAACGCTTTGGCGCGGTAATTACTTATCTAGTTTAATATATAAATCAATGATAAAAGATATTAAATATGAAATTATTCACTTTTTAGGTGTTTTTGTGAAGTTGAAGGGAAATAGAGATCCTCGTTGCAGTGTTTTGGTAGCTAACTGTGTGTCTTGCTTGGATTCACTTGCAGCTGCACATGTTCTTGGAACTATTAGTGTAAGTATTTATTTTTTTTTATTCTTTTTCTCTAGCCTGTGAAGTCCACAGCTGAACATGTGTCTCTCATAAAGTTGGGTACATTAACCTTTCTAAGAAATATATATTCATCATTTTATAATAAAAATGCTTAATTGGTAGGTGAATTAGAGATCTGATTGTCGGAAAGCAATGCAACAGATGGTAAAAACAAAAAAACATTTAGTACTCACTGTTTATTGCCAGTCTGAGGTCCTTACTTTTCTGGCAGATTTATATGTATTATGATGCTGTACTGCCATCTGCCAGAGGCCTTTGTTTAGGTTATTAAATTATCTTTGTGACTAAATAAAACTGCTGTGTTTTCAACAAAAAGATTCAGTGATAAAAACATAGTTTGTTTACTGACTATTTAATTCAGGTGTTCTTATTACTACAATAGTCTTTTAAATGATAAGGCGACATATTGATTAATCTGTAAAAATTTAATTAATTAAATTAAATAGATTAGTCTTCACTTAAGAATTTATGTTTTGTTCTAGTTAAGGTTTTTAATTTGCTGTGAAGTGGCAGTGTAAGAAAATCTATGCAAGATCTCTCCAATAATTGTGTGGGTGACAGTGATAACAACTCAAAATAAACTGTAGTTGCTAATATGTATCTGCCAAGTGTGGCAACTTACCGTGTAGTGGCGGTTAAGAATATCCACTACCCCATATCTTCCCGTGGGTGTCGTAAGAGGCGACAGAGGGAGACAGGCAGGAGATGGGCAGCAGCGTCTTCCTGATGACAACTGTGACGTAATAAAAAACTGCGGTTGCCAACCCGCTCGCCAAGCGTGGCAACTATGGCAAATACCCCCCAATGAACAAATACACAAACAGACGGCCCCCAGTCCCCGGCGGCCCCGCTATTCCTGGCTACGGTGGCGACCATGGTAACGGCGGGGCAGGGGGTGCTAAGAATCTCCGGTGGAGGTTCGGTTGCCACCTACGACGACTCGACCTGGCAACATATAACGCACGCACCCTGAGGACTGACGAGAAGATACTGGAGCTGGAAGAAGAGGTAGACAAGTTGCGCTGGCATATTATTGGATTATCCGAGGTCCGAAGAGAGGGGGAGGACACGGCAATCCTCGAGTCCGGCAACTTGTTCTATCACCGGGAGGGCGACCATCTGTCCCAAGGAGGTGTCGGATTTATCGTCCACAAATCTCTCGTCAACAACGTTGTAAAGATTGGGAGTGTGTCGACGAGGGTCGCGTACCTGATACTCAGAATCACCAAACGGTATTCGCTGAAGGTCATTCAGGTTTACGCACCAACCTCGGCACATCCCGATGAGGAGGTGGAGGAAATGTATGAGGATATTTCCAGAGCCATACATTCCTCCAAAACCCACTACACGGTGTTGATGGGAGACTTCAACGCAAAACTAGGCACAAGAGAAAGCGGTGAGCTGAAGGTAGGGAAATTTGGAGTAGGGCAACGGAACCGAAGGGGCCAGCAGCTGGCCGACTTTATGGAGAAAGAGGGACTCTTTATGATGAACTCTTTCTTCCAGAAGCGGCCCCACAGGAAGTGGACCTGGTCGAGCCCCGACGGTTCGACAAAAAATGAGATTGACTTCATTATGACGACCAGACGCCAACTGTTCAGTGATGTCTCAGTGATCGCAAGGGTGAAAACTGGCAGCGATCACCGAATGGTTAGAGGCACACTGAACCTAAACGTTAAGTTGGAGAGGTCTCGTCTAATGAAGTCAACGCTCCGTCCCCCCTCGTGCTCTAATCCAGAATCCCGAAACCTTTCAGCTCGAGTTACGTAACCGCTTCCAGTGCCTAGAAGATTGCAATGCAGTGGACGATATGAACGACAAGCTCGTGGAAACTGTCCATGCGGTCGGAGCTAAGTTCTGTAAGACCCGCCGCAGAAGAACACAAAAACTCTCCGATCACACTCTTAATCTCATGGCTGTTAGACGGGAGATGAGGCTGCAATCGTCAACAGATTTGACAGCATACAGGCAACTGAACAGACAGATCTCCAAATGCATGCGGCGAGACTTACGCAACTTTAATACTTCTCGTATTAAAGAAGCGATCGAGCGGAACCAGGGCTCCAAAGTCTTTGCCAGAGATCTGTCTGCCAGAAAGAGCCAACTGTCAAGGCTGAAGACTGAGTGTGGCAACATCGTTTCCGGGACACCTGAGATTTTGAGTGAGATTGAGAGGTTCTATGGGCAGCTGTACACATCATCGTTGGAGCCACACGCAAGTGTGAGTAACGATCCAAGAGCAAGTCTTATCCGACACTATTCCGATGATATCCCGGACGTCAGTCTAAGCGAGATTAGAATGGCTCTCCAGCACCTTAAAAACGGCAGGGCCCCAGGCGAGGATGGAATTACAGCGGAGCTTCTGAAAGCGGGTGGAACACCGGTACTTGAAGTCCTTCAGAAGCTCTTCAATTCCGTCCTCCATGGTGGCACTACTCCAGAGGCGTGGAGCAGAAGTGCGGTGGTCTTGTTCTTTAAGAAAGGCGACAACGCTCTCTTAAAGAACTACAGACCGATTTCCCTTCTGAGCCGCGTCTACGTGCTGTTTTCGAGAGTCATTACGAATCGTCTCGCACGCAGACTTGACGACTTCCAGCCTCCCGAACAAGCCGGTTTCCGAAAAGGCTTCAGTACCATAGACCACATACATACCCTGCGGCAGATTGTACAGAAGACTGAAGAGTACAATCTGCCACTTTGCCTGGCGTATGTGGACTATGAGAAAGCCTTTGATTCCGTCGAAATTTGGGCGGTGCTACAGTCCCTTCAGCGGTGCCAAGTTGACTGTCGGTATATCGAAGTGCTGAAGTGTTTGTACAGTAGGGCTACGATGGCTATCCGAGTACAGAACCAGAGCTCGAAACCTATCCAACTGCAGAGAGGTGTAAGACAGGGTGACGTTATATCCCCGAAACTCTTCACCGCTGCATTGGAAGACGTTTTCAAGCTACTGGACTGGAAAGGATACGGTATTGACATCAATGGCGAGTACATCACTCACCTTCGATTTGCCGACGATATAGTCCTTATGGCAGAATCGCTGGAGGACTTAAGCACTATGCTCAATGACCTCAATAGTGCCTCCCAACGGATAGGTCTTAAGATGAACATGGACAAAACAAAGATCATGTTCAATGTCCATGTCACACCTATGCCGGTAGTTGTTGGGAGCACTATGCTCGAAGTTGTTGACGAATACGTTTACCTGGGACAAATAGTCCGACTAGGTAAGTCCAACTTCGACCGAGAGGTCAATCGACGGATTCAACTCGGCTGGGCAGCGTTCGGGAAATTACGGTATATCTTTTCGTCAGGTATACCTCAATCTCTAAAAACTAGATTGTACAACCAGTGCGTGTTGCCAGTGATGACTTACGGATCTGAGACGTGGTCCTTCACTGCTGGCCGTATGAGGACGCTTAAGGTCGCTCAGCGAGCTATGGAGAGGGCTATGCTCGGAGTTTCTCTGCGTGATAGACTCAGAAATGAGGATATCCGCAGTAAAACCAGAGTGACCGACATAGCCCAACGGATTAGTAAGCTGAAGTGGCAATGGGCCGGCCATATAGCTCGAAGAACCGATAACCGATGGGGAAGAAAGGTTCTCGAGTGGCAGCCTCGTACCGGTAGGCGTAGTGTAGGGCGACCCCCCACTAGATGGAGTGACGACCTGGTAAGACATGCAGGAAGTCGATGGATGCAGGTGGCTCAGGACCGTGCTTTGTGGCATTACTTGGGGGAGGCCTATGTTCAGCAGTGGACTTGTGAAGGGCTGTAATGATGATGATGATGAAGTGTGGCAACTATGGCAAATATCCCTATGAGGGAATCTATACGGTTACTATACTGGATGACTTACCATCTACAAAAAAATAGGGTGTAACATGTGAACGGAGTAGAAGCCTATAAAATAAAAACAAAAATTTTGAATTAAATAAATTAATTAAAATCTATCGAAATTCCGTTAGAACCGAATAGTAGCTCTGATGGTTAACGCTCGCTGTAATTATAACAGAATGTGAGTAACCCGGGTTCAATCCCCGCTGGCACTAATGAAATTGTTAATTGCAATTTTAAGTGCTGATTTACCACGTGCTCGGCGGTGAAGGAAAACATCGTGAGGAAACCTGCATGTCTGAGGAATAAGAAAAAAATAAAAATATTTCGAAGACATGTGAAGTTTGCAAACATGCATTGGGGCACAGCCGATACTTCCTTACCCTAAAACACGCTCAGAAATGAGGGGAGGCCTGTGCCCAGCAGTGGGACGTATATATGCTGTAACTTTATTTTTTACTTTGTATCGCAATTCAAATCTTATCCACCCTACTTTACGAATGGCAATAAATCAATAAATTTAGTAGGCATCTTTGACCTCATCACTTTGCAGGGTCATGGCCTCATGGGCAAGGGGCAAAGTAATTATCGAAAAATATTTACCGAAATAAAATCCATTTCTATATTTATTATATTTTAGCTAAGAAAATGGAAGCTGCCACCATTTTTTGCGTCTACGCTGGGTATTCGAAATGCAGCACAATTTATCAGAAAGTAAGTGCTTTCCTATCTAACACGTTTTTATTACATCACTTTCTTGTTTGTCTGTCTATCTGTTGTTCTGGGTGGAATCTTGCAACACAAATTTTGAGCACTTTCCGATAAACTAGAGACTTAAAATTTGGAACATAGCTCGGAATTGGATGACAATGTAGAAATATGAAAAATGTGGTATGTTTTTTTATAGGATAGGATGACAAACGAGCACACAGTTCACCTGATGGTAAGTGGTTGCTGTGGCCCATAGACATCTACATCTATCCTCGATTACGAATCAAAATACGGATGCGTTGTCATTCGTGAGGTTTTAGGTGGAACGCCTCGTTTTCAGTAAAAAGGGTCTCCGGTTCTCTACACTCACCATATGAAACACAGCAGCATTAAGCTACTGTTTGACGCTGGTATTCTGTGAGAGCATGGTCCTTTCCTGGTCGAGCCGACCCATACGTGCTACAACTATACTTTTAATATAACTGCAGCATGGCTCTACCATTACTCATACATTGTACGGAACATTATTTAAGCGTATTTGCAATGAATTTAATAATACTTTTACGTTTAAAACATTCTCCTTGAACAATCGCAAAGCATTTAATTAATGGGCGACAGTAGGAGTCCATAAGAGTAGAAAAAGGTTATATGAACTTTACAATGAAAGGTCATATAATCCTAGCGTCAAATTTAGGGAATATGTAAAAAAATATTCCAAATAAAAGAGGGTGCTCCTTAGCCAAGTCATTGTATTTGAGCAACAAAATAAAGACTGCTTCTAATAAAATTAAAATGACATGGAGTATAATTAATAGTGAAACTGGTAAGGTCAACTCTCGCAATTCAAACTACCAGTTAAGTTTCAACAATAAATTAACTAAATCAGATCAGGACGTTGCAATGGTTTTTGAGAGATATTTTACTGATATTCCGATCTTAACCACTAAGTCACTGAATTCTTCTCCTGACGTCGCCGAATCATTACTTTAACAAAACGTAAATGTGTGTACAAAGAATTTTACATTTCATGAAGTGTCATCAAAAGATATTGTAAAATATTTTAAGACTATTGATATTAAGAGAACCGTCGATCTGTGGAGGATTTCTGTTAAAGTTATTGCGTCTACAATAGATGCGATCGCACCTCAACTATCTATTATTTTTAATACTAGTATTGAATCTGGTGTGTTTCCTGATTTAATGAAGCATAGTAAAGTAATACCTTTATTTAAATCTGGTAGTACATTGGACCCCGCTAATTTTAGACCTATTTCTGTACTGCCAACACTTAATAAAATTTTTGAAAAAAAATTTCTTGATCAAACGTAAATTTTTTTTAATGTAAATAATTTACTTCATAAAAATCAATTTGGTTTCACAAGGGTTCGCTCGACAACTGATGCTGGTGTTGAGCTGATTAAATATATATTTGATGCATGGGAGAATTCACAGGATGCTTTGGGTGTATTCTGTGACATATCCAAAGCCTTCGATTGTGTTCACCATGAAACATTAATCAGGAAACTTCAACACTACGGTGTAAGAAGCGATGCTCTTAAATTAATTATTTCATATTTAAGTGACAGAACACAAAAAGTTGTCATTAATAGTATGAGTTCTTCCGGGTCGATTGTACAAATGGGCGTGCCTCAGGGCTCAATTCTCGGCCCTTTTCTATTTCTAGTATATGTTAATGACTTACCTTACATAGTAGGGGATAACCATGATATAGTATTATTTGCTGATGATACTTCATTAATTTTCAAATTAAAACGACAGTTATCAAATTACGACGAGGTAAATAATGCTATAGCTAAGTTAGTCAATTGGTTTAATGTTAATAATTTGCATTTGAATGGAACTAAAACTAAATGTATGAAATTCGTAACTCCTAATGTTAAACTTGTCAATACTAATGTAATTTTAAATGGGGGGGGGGGGGAACTGAGTCTTGTTGATACCACCATTTTTCTTGAAATCACACTGGACGCAAAGCTTCAATGGCTCCCCCATATATCAAAACTAGCTAGCAGACTTAGTTCTGCAGCATATGCTGTGAAAAAGATTAGAACTCTTACCAGCGTTGAAACAGCTAGAATAGTTTACTTTAGTTATTTCCATAGCATTATGTCGTATGGTATTTTGCTATGGGGACACGCGACTGACACTGAAATTATATTTATTTTACAGAAGAGGGCCATTAGAGCAATATATAATTTAAAACCAAAAGAGTCACTGAGACAAAAATTTAAGGAAATTAATATATTAACTCTGGCCTCTCAATACATTTATGAAAATGTAATGTACGTACACAAAAATAAAAGTAGTTTTGCGAAAATAAGTGATATACATTCTGTAAATACTAGGAACAGACACAAGCTAGTTGTACCAGTTACTCGACTCCACCGTGTCAGTAATTCATTCTTGGGGCGATGTAAACGCTTTTACAACAAAATCCCAGAAAATATACAAAATTTGTCATACACAAGGTTCAAAAATGTTATTAAACTAAGTTTGTATAAAAAGGGTTATTATAATATTAAGGAATTTATGGATGATAATAACCCCTGGGAAGGGTGATCGCTACCAAGCTATTTCTAATTTGTCTTGTGTTGTTTATTGTAAACAAATTGTAAGCTATTATTGGAAAAAAAAATAGTCCCGCTGGGTTTCTTGCTGGTTCTTCCCAGGACAGAGGTTTTTTTGCTAACCCGTGGTAAATGAAAAAAGTGACTTTCAATAAGTATTGTTATAATCTACATTGAATAAAAAAGTTTCTGTTTCTGTTACCATCCATCCTACCATCTAAATTTTTTAGTACATAGTCAAGTACTTGTTTTTGTTTTATATTATATTTATTTATTAATTGTTCTAAAATTTTAATAAAAGCTATTAGAAACAAACTTAATGTTGCAATTTTATTTATTACAGGCAACACTTTTCCGACAGTTCCAGCAAACCAATATTGCTGCAGCCAGAAGGAGGCCCCACTAATGGCAAGGCATTACTAAAGTTCACCGACTGGCCTTTCCCTATTGGTAACAGAGTTCAGCCTGTCGCTATAAGTAAGTAAAAGAAATACTTTTCATAGGATAACCAACACCTAGCAGTATCTCAAATTGTTTGCCACTGCTGTTTAATATCAGTATGTTTCAAATTCCTACTAGAGCTACCCGTAAAATATCCATGTAAAAGAGCGATCATCTTGCCTAAAAAGTAAGCAGAGATTATGTAGATGGAGATCCTAAAAAAACATGATATGAAGGATGTTACTTGTGATATTAAAGGAAGTTATAAAAATTTGAGATTTACAGGCTGTGAGGCATGCCAACAGACATGCAAATTTGTCAGAGGTAGCAACACATCTGTAGCCTTTTCTGTTTGAAGTTGGCTGTGGGTAGTCTTGGAATGCAGTAGCCGCTTACCTTCAGATGGACTGTGAGTTTATCTCTTCTATTTTATGAAGAAAAAAAATGATGAAATAGGGTTATAGGTTCTCCAATACCACCACCAACTCCAACACCACAACTCTCACAAATTATACTTCGTATTTATGCATGATTTGGCAATAAACACATCTGCTTGGGGATTATTATCACATAAGTCAAAGTGCAAACTCAATATGGATGGGTTATATTATATATCAGGTCAGAATCTCGGGACATCTATGATATTTGCTGAGGGTCAGCTATGTCATAGTAAGTTAGCGACATTTGAAAGTTCTGGCGACTTTTCTCTTCATATTAGCTCAAAAACTATGGTTCGATAAGGGATAGTGGTATTCTTATACCACCCCTACACAGTTTAGTTTAGTTTAGTTTGGTTTACGACGAACTGTTTTCCGCAACTTACGTCAACAATCTACTAAGTTTTTCCACAGCTGAGTGTGTAGATTATTGAAGTTTCTGTGTACCAGTGAATGAACGTAACCAAAGGGGATTGGTATTATTGGTTCCGGCCCTATAGTGGCCAGAGCCAATCCCCTTCTGGCCAGTTCATCTGCTGCATTGTTGCCTCTGGATCCACTGTGTCCTTTAATCCATTGCAGAGTCACATTGTTGTGCTTACATACCTCATTTAATCATTGATGGCATTCATATAGTAGTCTCGAGTTCACCAAATTACAACTCAGAGCTTACACAGTACCGCCATACTGTCGGTCAGTATTCTGATGGAGAAGTGTTTTACCTTCCTAGCATTTATTGCTATGGCCGCTTGGATGATACCCATACTACACGGTTAATTGTAGGTATGATTTGCCTCAATCGTCATCTTTTGCAGGTGAATTGACTATTACAGTACCAGATGTCTCTTACCTTTAGTGCTGCTGCTCGTTTCAGGACAGGATATTTGACGCCTGACATAAACAGGATGGTATCATGAGAGCAGCAACAGAAATAACTTCATTTAGTCAGCTTGCATAACTGGCTTCTTCCAAGGTGTGCTGGCCTTATTAATGAGATAGTTATACCATCTATTTGAAGCCATAAGACTTTTCTGGCATTTCTCTTAGCACCCCTTACTACAAGTCAAAAGATGAGATGGGATGATAAATTCTATCAGGCCACCAATACACCACTTTACATTGCTAAAATATCCTGTTCCAGCTGTAGAGCGGCCGATGACCAACGTGTCAGTGCGTAGCCCCTCTGACACCCGGGATCGCTTTCCGTGGTCGGATGCCCTGTGGTTCCTTTGCGCTCCTGCTACTATGTACACTTTACACGCATTGCCACCACTTGAGCGTGGAGATGATGACGACTCGGCGTTCGCCACGCGGTTGAGTCGTACGATCGCTGAAGCTCTGCAGGTGAGCCCCTTTTTTTAAATGAATGTCCACTCAATGGAGAGTGGCTACAGCAACTGCAAGGAATTTTAATAAAAATCAAGAGTTACTTGTGACAACTTAGATGAAATATTTCACAGGCTGTGAAATATTTCATATGTATTATACTTGTGGTGTATCTATTTATTTACACACACATTTTAAATAGCCATTTACATATGTATATAAATAACTCTTTATACAGTTAAGTTTATCATACACAATCTATAGTATTCATGTATATATTTTATTTACTACACACTGCATACTTATTTATTATCACTTATATTAGTATTTTATATTATCAAGTCCCGTACGTGGAAGGCACTCGAGTAGAACCGGTTACAAGGTCGTTAAGCAACGGTGCATAGTTTAGAAGACGCGCCAGTTAGCAACGAGACCTTTATACGTGTAAAAGCGCAGGTCGCTCCTTGCTCCGTCACTCGATTGTTAACATAATCAGGCGTCTATCCGCGTCTCTTGAGAAGAAGTTAAAGCAATTACTTACTCACGAAGATCTCGGAGATCGAAAACCTTCACAGTTTCTTCGGCATCTGATGGACCTAGCGGGACCTTCCGTGCCGGAAGAATTTATTAGAACTATATGGAGTAATCGTCTTCCACACAACATTCAGACGGTACTAGCATCCCAACCGACCCATTCACTGGAGCAATTGGCTGACCTTGCAGACCGTATACAGGAAATCACAACACCCTACAACGTAGCCGTCGCGTCTTCCAGTGCTGCAGTGGCTCAACCAGCCCATGAAATCGCTGAGCTGAAGAAGATGGTACAGCGTCTTGCGCTAAAGCTAGATGAGCACACGAGCTTTAACCGAAGGTGCAGCAACAGATCCAGACCACAACGACGTCGATCGACCTCACGTCAGCGTAGACGGTCTAACTCCAACTATAATAAGTATCCTTTATGCTGGTACCACTCAAAGCATGGGGCAAATGCTCGGTGGTGTGTAAAGCCTTGCGACTATCAGCCGGCGGGAAACTACGCGGGCAATCGCTAATGGCGACGGACGACTGCCCAGCTTCGATGAGTCGCCTTTTCGTAAAGGACCACGTGACGAAGACAGAGTTCCTGGTGGACACTGGCAGCGACCTCTGTGTGTTCCCCTACGACGCACTAAAGGAACGACGACAGAAGGCGAACTACCAGCTTTCAGCAGCAAATGGAAGTGTAATAAATACATATGGTTACATTAATCTTAACTTAATTTAGGTTTACATAGAGATTTTCCATGGCAGTTTATAGTAGCTGATGTCACAAAAGTGGTCATAGGTGTTGATTTTCTTTCACATTAATATATATAATCTTGTTGTAGATGTTCGCAACAAACGCCTAATAGATAATACTACTTCTTTGTCTGTAAATGCAATTGCTAATGTTGTTTGTTGCTTGCTTATTCTGTCAAGGTGCTGACTGGCATTCTAGGTACCACGCGATCCTAAATAAATATCCGGAAATCACAAGACCTTCAGGTACACCGCTCACGCCAACACATCACACTAAGCACCACATCCGCACCACATCCGCACCACACCAGGACCACCCATCTCTTGTACACCTCGTAGGCTGGCACCCGATAAGTTGCTGATTGCCAAGCGAGAGTTTGACATCATGTTAAGCAATGGCACAGCACGCCCATCGGAAAGTCCGTGGTCGTCACCCCTTCATTTGGTGCCTAAAAAGGATAACGGGTGGCGTCCATGCGGTGATTACCGACGACTTAACGCACGGACCATACCGGACAGGTATCCGATCCGTCACATCCATGACTTTGCCCACGCTATTTCTGGTTGCAAGATCTTTTCAACTATTGACCTTGTAAAAGCCTACAATCAGATTCCCGTTTTTGAGGAGGACGTTGCAAAAACAGCAATAACTACACCCTTTGGCCTGTATGAGTTCCCATTCATGGGTTTCGGGTTGCGCAACTCTGGACAAACTTTCCAAAGGTTTGTTGATGAGATGACCAGAGGCCTCGATTTCTGCTACTGTTTTCTCGACGATTTCCTTGTCTTTTCGAAAACAGAAGCAGAACATCGAGACCACCTTCACCAACTGTTTAACCGAATGAAGGAATACGGTATCCTCATAAACTCTTCAAAATGTGTCTTCGGAGCTAGCGAGGTGTCATTCTTAGGACACCATATCTCAGAAGCCGGTTCTAAGCCTTTGAACACAAAAGTCGAGGCCATACAAAATTTTCCACCTCCGAAAACCATACGCTAGCTAAGGATATTCCTGGGCATAGTTAATTTTTACAGGCGCTTTCTACCAAATGTAGCTAGATTCAGCTGCCGCTGAATGTTTTACTTTCCGGTTCGGTCAAGCCGTCTCAACCGATCGATCTCACCGGGGAAGCATTAGCTTCCTTCAATGAGTGCAAGAACAGCCTTTCCCAAGCTGCACTACTCGCACACCCTGACTGCAACGCCAAACTTGCTCTGGTAACAGATGCATCAGATTTGGCTATGGGTGCAGTTTTGCAGCAGTTTAAGGATGGTTTTTGGCAACCTCTTGCTTTCTTTTTCGCGCAAGCTAAGTCCTTCCCAAACGAAGTACTCACCATATGACCGTGAGCTTTTGGCGATATATGAAAGCATAAAATACTTTCGGCACATGCTAGAGGCCAGGCACTTTGTAGCATATACTGACCATAAGCCGCTCAGTTACGCTTTTCATGATAGGAAAGTCAACTGTTCGCCTCGTCAGTACCGCTACCTCGATTACATCTCGCAGTTCACGACCGACATCCGTCATATGCATACGCATACGCATTGTCGGGCTACACTTTGTCGCGAATCGAACTTGGAACTGCAGATGCAAATCGATCTAGATCTACTTGCCAAATGCCAAGCCTCTGATACGGAACTAACTGATATCTTGAACAATAAATCTTCACTTTCAATGCGTATAGAACAGTTTAAGATTCCGAACAGTAGCTCGGAACTATATTGTGACGTGAGTACGCCGTCACCTAGACCGTTTGTGACAAAGCCCTTCCGTAAACAACTCTTCGATAGTCTTCATAATCTCAGCCACCCAGGCGTCAGCGCGTCAACCAAACTTGTAGTGGAGCGATTCGTTTGGCCTGAGATGCGTAAAGACTGTCGAGAGTGGTCACGGAACTGTCTGGCGTGTCAACGTGCAAAGGTGCATCGCCACGTGTCATCTCCCTTCGGTACGTTCGATCTACCCAAGGCACGTTTTTCTTTTATCCATGTGGACATAATAGGCCCTCTGCCCCCATCACAGGGAAATCGATACTGCCTCACCATCGCGGACCGTTTCACACGCTGGCCCGAAGTCTCGCCAATGTTCGATATGACAGCTGAGACCGTTGGAAAGGCTCTGAAATATCGTGGATATCCAGATTTGGATGTCCAACAGATATCGTAACTGATCGCAGCCGACAGTTTGAATCCACCCTTTTTCATTATTTAGGAAAAGTGATTGGATTCAAATATCGAAAAACTACCGCGTATCATACCCAGCATATCATATCATCACCCAGCGTGTAACGGTATGGTGGAACGGTTTCATCGGCAGCTAAAGGCAGCAATAATGTGTCACGCAGACAGCAACTGAGTAGACAAATTAACTTTAGTACTGTTGGGTATTAGGTCCTCTTATAAAGAAGAGCTAAAAGCTTCATCGGCAGAGTTGGTATACGGAGAGCCCTTACGTCTTCCAGGGCAATTTTTCCAACCGGTTGCTCTGGATAACACCGATGTATCAGATTTTACCACTCGCCTTCGACAGCTCACCCAGAAGCTATCACCGACACCCGCCACACGTCACAGTAAAAACAACATCTTTATACATAAAGATTTAAAAGTTTCAACGCACGTATTTTTGCGAGACGATGCCTTAAGAGGTGCATTGCAACCTCCATATTCTGGCCCTTACGAAGTGGCCGAACATGGGGGTAAAAGGGAAAGCTGTAACAGTATCGATAGACCATCTTAAACCAGCCTATATACTGACAGACCCCTCACCTAATTCCATCCCTACTTTTTATCCTCAACCTTTCCCTAAAGGGACAACTGTCCCTAAACCGTCAGAATTAACCGACCCAGCACCAACACCTGTCAAGGAAAACGTAAAACGTACGCGTTTGGGGCGCGTTGTACGTTTCCCTGATTTTTATCGCCCGTAGTAACGGTCTACATACATACCCTTCGGCAAATTGTACAGAAGTCCGAAGAGTACAATCTGCCACTTTGCCTGGCGTATGTGGACTATGAGAAAGCCTTTGATTCCGTCGAAATTTGGGCGGTGCTACAGTCTCTTCAGCGGTGCCTAGTTGACTGTCGGTATATTGAAGTGCTGAAGTGTTTGTACAGTAGGGCTACGATGGCTATCCGAGTACAGAACCAGAGTACGAAACCTATCCAACTGCAGAGAGGTGTAAGACAGGGTGATGTTATATCCCCGAAACTCTTCACCGCTGCGTTGGAAGACGTTTTCAAGCTACTGGACTGGAAAGGATACGGTATTAACATCAATGGCGAGTACATCACTCACCTTCGATTTGCCGACGATATAGTCCTTATGGCAGAATCCCTGGAGGACCTTAGCACTATGCTCAATGACCTCAATGGTGTCTCCCAACGGATAGGTCTTAAGATGAACATGGACAAAACAAAGACATGATCTTTACCCCCCACTAGATGGAGTGACGACCTGGTAAGACATGCAGGAAGTCGATGGATGCAGGTGGCTCAAGACCGTGCTTTGTGGCATTATTTGGGGTAGGCCTATGTTCAGCAGTGGACTTGTGAAGGGCTGTAATGATGAATGATGAACGGTCTTCGGGGGGGGGGGGGGAGTGATGTGGTGTATCTATTTATTTACACACACATTTTAAATAGCCATTTACATATGTATATAAATAACTATTTATACAGTTAAGTTTATCATACACAATCTATAGTATTCATGGATATATTTTATTTGCTACGCA